TATCTGAATTATGCTTCCAAGTGAAAAAATTGCATCTATTTGTAAATGATTATTTTTAAAAATTTCAATATCTATTTCAATATCGAGGGAAGAAAAGAAAATTCGTAAAGGAATATTGATTCACGATGGGGCTCGATGAATCCTTTGACACTTGAAAGGGGGATGTCCTGCAGGATGTCACCCTTTATACCTGAATCGCCGAGGGAACTCGTTAAACGATTTTTATGGTATCGCTGCCCAGACTTTTGACGTTCGCGTGTAAAGAATCTGACAAGGGGGTTGAATAGAAGCGGGAAGAAACTCGGTTTCGCGAGACTTCTAAAGTCGCGAAACAGTGCTCTATTTTTTTTCCTTTTCTTCCCTCTTTCGACATGTCCTTCGAGACTCTCCTTGTCTTTCTTTGCAAGATAGAAGCATCTTTTTTCCTTTTTGACACTGCAATTTTCCGCTTGAAATGCAAGAACGCTTCCACTTAACTTCGACATTTATGATCAAGGAGGGTAATATCCTTCTTTTTAGAAATTTTAAAAATTTTATAGGAATTCTCTAACGGAAAGTGATAAAATTTAAAACAACCCTCATCCACATTCATAACTTGTAATGGAACAAAGGAAAAAGTACAAACCACTATAATTTGTGTTGTGATTTGAAACTTTGATAGCTGAAAACCGACACTTTACAAAGACCTCGTATCACGGTGTAAATGTCGCATGGAATTCAACGATGCTCTCGTAAAAACGTTAATTGCCGTGTATTTCGTGGTCAGAAACCGCGAAAGCTTGACGAGAAGCTTTTTACAAGCTTCTCACCATCAACCGCGTTGAAACGATACAGTGTCGAGAATTATTTATGATGCTGGTAAAAACCTTTCGATACTGACCGTCATGTTTTCTGTTTTGATAAATGGACGGTTAGAAAATAATAACGTTGCAAGGTTCCTATGGGAGGAAATTAAATAATTGACAAGAAGTATGAAAAATTAGATCAACGTAATTGTTGTCACTCTTTCCGTCGTTAATTGTGTCATCAAAAATGTGAACTTCTTTTAATTATTTGTATTTTGGATTGCATGAGGTATATATATTTTTTGGATTTGTAATATCGAATATATTTACAATATATTTAAGGAGAACTGTAATTTATAAAACGAGTACTATATTAATCAAAAGTCATTGTAATTCAGTTTGATATACCACTGTAAAGGGAAATTTCAATCAACATCAAGTACAGAAAGTTTAGACAGAAATATCTGTTTCAATACTCTTTTATCATCTAAAGTAGACAGCTTGAAATATTTTAAGCCATGTTAATAAAACTACGGTTTTTTTACTTTTTTTATCTAAATACAGGCAAAGCCATTTTAATTAAATTGTGTGTGTCATCTGTTGAACAAATTCAATTCCACCGGTTTATCTACGGACAGTGACCTACATCGTTTTCAGGAATATCTGTCCCCTTCCCTTGTTTCTTTTTCCACTTCCTCTTCTTCGTTAGCTTTCCTCATTATCTTATTGTATCCTCGATAAATGCTCTTGATCATCGACATTAAATAAAAAATCTGTTGCAATTTATTTACTTATTGTTAGAAGATTAAAAGACGTTAAATTGCACAAATTTAATTTAAATTTGCAGTGATTTATTGATTTATAGAAATAAAAAGTTGCGTTTGTTTTTCAAAATGCTTTTAGTGTAAAATAAATATTATGCAACACATATCGTATATTAAATTGAAAATATAATGTTTCTGATATTTTCCTTCGATGAAGTAAAATCAATTTACTGAGCCTTCAGCTCCGCTACACAACAATTACTTTGAGAAGGTAACAGGATATTCCCCGATATAGGTTCAAAGTAGTAAAAGTCCGTCGATGGGAATATTCTTTTCACGAACCCGAGGGATTAATAGAGTAACTGGGCTACTTCAAAGAAACCCCATATCTTCCTTTGCAAGGTAGCAGAATCGTGTGCTTGTCGATAGCTACGGCGAACTGCTTCCTACCTATTGATTTAACCTGTTTCTTAAAATTAACTTCTCCCAAAGAGAACATTTTTACCAAAGCTACAAAATATTTGCAAAATTTTCTACCTCGAATAACACGTGAATTCAAAATTAAATTTTTATTCAAGAATACGAATTGAAAATTGTCATTTTGTAATTTATATCATTCACTATTTTAACTCTTTAAACATTTACAAATAAATACAAAATCCGTTTAAATTTTCAGTACCACAAGATTGTTTAAAATACAATAATTAACAGAGTTCCATTAGTTATGGTTGCCAAAATTATGATCTCGCTAATGCAAATAGCCGGCATCAGATATCGAGTATTAACACGTGTGTTGAAAACGCACTGCGTGCACGTAATTACCGCTTTAAAATTATAGCAAAGTAAAATTTGTTAGAGCTGGTGTTACTCATGTGCGTCTCGTTAACCTTTTCAGTCGTAACAATGGTGCTAATTACTCAATGGAAGAATTAAATTTTTTTTCGTGTCTCATTACATAGAACAATTAAAGTTTCATGTCAAAGATCTTTTTTCTGTTTCATTCCATTTAATTATTAATCACTTCACAGTTGAAAAATTAATTGCACTCATTTCTAGAAATTCTAGGTATTAACAGTTACAGTGAAATAAATTCAATACACATTGTTTATTAGAAGAGAGCAAAAATATATCCAACGATTTGTTGCAAATGGGAACAAAAATAGCCGTGAAAGAATATCGGCAAGCATTTCAAGAAAACACTCGATTCTCTTCGCTTTTACGGGGCTCAACGAATGTAAATGTGTCCGCCTCTTTGTATTTATTTTACGGATTTGTTTTCTCGGTGCTGTAGCTTGTTTGTTGATGTTGCGTTGCAGCCTCGTGTTTCCCTTTTTGCTTTTTGTTTTCTTTATACTGGACATCAACGAGTTTATCGGTTTCGTTTTTCTAGAGTCTCTATTTGTTTTAAAAAGAATGTTTCATTGGAAAGTATTATTTCTGAATAATCCAATTATTAACTTTATTATTTTATTATTTTAAAATTGAAAGATTTAGAAACTGGCGGTGGTTGTGCCTGTATAAAGATATATTTTTCGACACAGTTTCACAAACGCGTACGTTTCACCTTAATTCGATCCAACACATTCTCAACGACATATCGTTGTTACTCGGTGTTTCGCTATTGTTTCCCCGATTCCGTCACTCTTGATTATCACGAATCTCAAAGCGACAGCCGACTGAAAAATTATCCAATCCTGGATTTCAATGGTTCGTGCTAGAAGCGTGGAAAAATTGGAAATTCAATTTCGAACGTCCCGTCCACTCTTTTTTCTCCTGTTGGCTCGAATCATTTCGACGAGACTCAATTTTTGCTTCGAAAGTTGGCAGACTTTTTCCGGCGATACCGTTCATTCCTTTATTCCCTACGCTTCCGTCTTTCTATCGTTTCAATTTGTAAAAAAAGAGAGCAAAATTTATTCCTAGGTGATCGTTAAAGGATAGACCGGATAGAGGATGTCGTTAAATATCATTTGTCTTTCGAAATAGAACACGTTTAACGTGTTTTTGTTTTGTGAAATTCATGAAATTTTTTACGCAATGAAACAGACGATGAAATATTAAATAAATTAATATGAAATATCAAAATTATGTTTATAGAATTAAACGAATCGTTTCAAGTAGATGTTTAATTAAAAATATCACCGTGCATATTTTAATCGAGATGATGTCCTTTTTATTACGTTACTTTGTAAACTTTAATACGGTATCGTTATTACTCACGAAACTTTTACTTTGTTTTTGGAGCAGGTATAACGAGTTTCCGAAGTTTCTTCTTTAAATTAAAAAAATATCTCTACCGATACTTTGCCAAGCGAAATCTCTACCACGGCATACCTTTATTTTATAAATAACAATATTTCTCGTGTGGAATACGCTCGGATTAAAAAAGTTAATTACTCCGATCGTTTGTTGACGTATACTCGCTCCGTAACAAGCGAAACGAGCACAAAACGAAACATTTAAATGAATTAAACACAATTTCTGTCGCATTTGCTTTATCGCGTTTCATGAGTAAAATCAAAACTGGTATTCAATTGGGATTGATTGATAAAAGTTCAGAGAAATTCCTTTGTTTGTTTACATCGTTAACCTATTGCGATTTTTTTCTTTCAATAAGTTGGCATATATATGCAGTTGATTATTGTGAAAACAAAAATAAATCATTGTTTTTAATTGCATGTACGATATGCTTGTTAACGCGTTGATCGGCACGTTGCAAATTGCCATGTCAAGCATATTGCAGTACCAGTAATTAAAGATATATTTGTTCATTTTTAAAATTCAAGTTTTTAATTGACTACCTTACATTGTTAGTATAATATTATTGAAATTTGTACTCCCTTCCATTTTTGTTCAATGTACTGATCACTGGTAATCTACGTGGCAATCAATGTGTTAATTAATAAAAATAAAAATCAGATATTTAAATTGAAAGAAGAAAATTGTTGCTATTGTGATTGGTCTAGAGTTTCTCGTTTATTCCGAACAAAACCCGTTGTAATTTCCAAAGTACCGTCAGGGGTAATTACCGTGTTCCGTCGTCATTTAATTAACATAAACTCGTTCGAGAGATTGCCGACGTTTCTAACGTTTACACCGCTGGGGAAACATTTATTCTCGAGCAGATTAGTGTTACGTCTAAGTGCATCGGGTAACCAGTAATCTAGGATCAGGGAAACTCGTGAAATTCGGTCATGAAGGAAGCCTGATGGAGATGTTCAGGACAAAGTACCGAGCAAATGATGTCTCTTGTCACTGTCATGAACATCGATGTAACTAGGAACCTTCTTTTAAAGAAAAACCCCCTAGTTTCGCTAAAAGCGTCAATTACTTTCATTGCAAATTAATCGATAAGAAAATTCTATTATCTATTAAAATTAAAGAGTAACAGTTCAATTAAAGTAATTGCACTTCACAATAAATGAAACAAATGAAATGAATAAAGACTCACCACGTGTACAGGAAGCAATCCTTCTCCTCTGATATGCGTGTTAAAGGTATCCTGAAACACAGATAAATTATCGTACCACTTGATAAATATTTATCGCGTCAAAACTCGAGCTTTCGCGCCCGAATCCCGTGATTCAATAAATTGATATATGAAAATAAGGAAAGGTATTAACACAATGTTTGACACGATCGCAGATGTTCCTTAACCAATTCAACGACCTTTTCTTTACATCCAGCTTCTATATCCATAAAAAACGGCCGAGAATTCATGCATGTACACCGATGTACCCTGGATAAATCCGTGAACTCGGTGAGAGTCCAGAAGAACGTAGACCGTGGCCAGGGTAAATTTACGAGACAGATACGCGATACGCCACGTGTAACCTAGTGCTATTTTCTCATCTAGAGAACACACGGATTCTGGGGATTCGGTATGCAGGACTTCTCGTCACTTCCAGAGGCAAGAACACCCTCTCTCACTTTCCACCCCCTGCGGTGTAGCATTCGCGTGGCATGCGTGCTCGCGTAGTATACTTGGAACGCATCAGATAACGTTGACCTAAAAAACTATGCAACCACCCATAGATCGTTATTATCTCCGGAGAGGGTTGGGAAAAGGGACGACAACGGAAAACATGATGCATTTGTCCTGTTCTGGACACGAGAAGTTGGATTACCAACCACCTAATACAAAATACAATAATTCTTTGCGATATAATGAAGTTAAAAATGTATAACTTTGTTAATACTTGAATGTTGTGATTAAAATCATCGTCAACGTCAATTTCACCATCTCATTTCTTATACCACACGTTCCCCGAAACGCTCCCAAATCAACCTCCTTGAAAATGCACGTCCCATGATGTACGCCGTGCAACATGACACAGTGTATTTGAATTTCATGCATAGAAATATAAAACACGGTCGCGAAGAAGTTGCAGCGACAGCGAATATTTTACGAGGAACCCACGACGACGGGTTAAAAATCGAGGGGAAAAACCACGCTACCAAGATAAAAGGAGACGTTGACAGAGGGTAAAGGCTGGAGGAGATCCATTCGATTTCTTCAGAGTCATTTAGTAAATACGCTTTCGAGCTTTACATTGTCCTCGATCGAAAGGGGTCGAATCGGACTAGCCACTTTATTCAATGAATTTTCTGTTTCTCATTGTTCATGTACGTAAATTTCATCCTTTCGTCTACTATTATCTTTTCGAGGATCCCTTTTACTCGACTTTTACTCGACTATCAGTATAAATTAAATGAAATAAAATATTTCTAAAATTTTTAATTCAACCCTTATCATTATCACATAATAAATAAAATATTTAAAAATACAAATGTTCTTCTAAATTTCTACGTCTCGCATATTCATTGAGAAACAGCGACAGGACGTTTCGAACGAACGCGCATAAATAATGCAAAGGATTTTAGGTTTCCGTTCGTCGAGACGGGAAGATGAAAAGAGAAAAGGCTTCGAATTGCGAGACTTGTTCGCGGGATATATCGATCGAGGTTCGAAGCAACGAGTGTATCTGATGAATCTGCCTTGCACTACCTACCGGTATTTCCGTTGCGTTCGTTCGCATCAACGCGGCGGTATAAGAATTGTTCTCGTCAAGGATGCTCTAGCTTAGACGGCAGATAGAGAAACGTAGGAAAGGTTCGTTGGTTTGATGCCAAGCGTACGAGCGATCACGTACGCGTACCAGCGACACGATGACACTCGCCTCCGTGGAAATCCCTCGAGTGGAACACTCTTTACGCCTAGAAAGCTTTCCCTCGAATCGATAGATTTCTCGCCGGGTTCCTATCCCTGGATAAACTACGATAGTTTCTTCTCTACCTTGAAGAACCTGCTCTTCTATCGGATAATTTTAACTTCTTCGCATCCCTGCACGAGATACCGTGCGAATTGAGTTTCACCCACCTTTTCCTTTAAACGAAATATCTCTTGTAAGTAAAAAAGATGGTGTGTAGTCTTTTTGAAATAAGCGTAGACATTTGTCAGACGGGATGAGCATTTAAAAAAATTAACCCTTCATCCTGTTTCCTTTGTCAAAACCACCCCATTTCAACGATAAAAGTTATGGTCTCTATACTCTATGGTTTCGAGAAGAGTTTCCTTCTACAGACACCACAGATTCATGGTTTCTTCTTTTTTCAAATCTTTTCTCAATACTTTAAAGCAGGCACGTTTCGGATCTTCGTTTTAAGTTGCTTGAGAAATTCTTCGCGTTTCTCGCGTTCCAACACGTCTCAATCGTTCTTCAAGCAAGTTCCCATTGCCACGTTTCGACCACTTCTCACTTTTAAATAGCAATTTACTCTCCAATTAATCTCTCAAACCATTTGCCTTGTTAAAGGCTCAATTGAATTATTGAATCTGATATTGGAAAAGGATTTAAATGAATGTTAAGATTCAAGTATCATTGTTGTAGATGGAAAGTTCAATATTCAAGCTCTAATATGATAAAGTCGAACAAAATTTACATTTCTACACTAATATAATTATAAAACCAGCCTTCTGTTACTTCCGGCAATCGATTACAATGTGAAAAATAGCCTGAGAAATATGGTTGCCTTCAACGAGTCCAAGAAGGGTACAAAGGAAATCCTCTTGATTGCAAACTCAGCCTGCAATCGCATGTAGCATTACATTTCAGCTTCTCCCATTTCGTTCCCTTGGCCTCTAATGGAAGTGATTGTTCTGTCCCTCGTAAAAAACTAGCACAGATAAAACAATTCTTTCAAATTCCCTATCTCTAGATGCTTTTAAAACGTGCCTCTCGTTTCTCAATCAAAGGATTGGTACTTCTAACGAAGAGAGAGTACTTTTAATCCTCTTTTTAACCAGTACCAGGATACTCATTAAAAGAATTAAAATATCATAGAAAAAAATAGACTAAATTTTTGTTAAAAATGAACTGATCTGAATTGTTCGTGTAGCAATCAAATTATTAAATGGATAAAATTATGAAATCCTTTTAAAATCACTGAGCATATTTTCAGCTTTGTTTCCGTTTAATGTCTATCCATGATTTCATTAATGAAATTAAGTCACGAATACGGTAACACTTTTTCTCGTGTATTCGCAGAGCTTCAGGAAACGTGGTTCAATTCGTCGAAACGAAATTTCATGGCAATAGACACGGAAGTGCTGGTCACGATGGCTGTTCGTTGGCTCAACTAATTCGGCCATGTAAATACAATATTGGCTGGTCGCCTCAGCCCTAGGGATTCGAAGCAGCCATTACACGAATCGACCCATTTTCCTGTCTCTGTCTTGGAACGAATACGGTTCGTTGATAATACCCGATAATATGATTGGCAATAATATTGAAAGAAAAAATTGCCCTTCTTTTATTCGCAATTTGCTTTTCTATCGACTATTATTTCCTATTCTTATTTCAATAATTACTTGGATTATTTGCAAAATTTGTGAAATGATATCTGTTAGGGTTTCGAAGAAAACAGCTTGTAACACTTTTCCTCCCCTATATTATAAATTATATCGAAACGATGTTGCTCTATTAGGATAATGGAAATAACGTCACGTTAACGTCATAAATTCGTGGCTTAAATATGATGAATATTTGTTGGTGCCGAATTTCTCGCGACCCTTAACATATCACCCCCGACTGCCCCAGGAAACAGAACGTTAATTTGATTTTCCTTCCAAACGGATCAATTATGCTTGCTGTCGCAATCGAAATTTGATTCGGATAAACTTGCAAGCTGTGCACCTGTTTCAATTCGATAGTTAGCTCCGATCGTTGGCGCAACTAATTTAAGCATGTAAATAGGATATCGGTCCGTCTCCCGAACCACAGGGGTGCGGTGAACTTCTCGACCAACACGATCCGTTTCTGATCTTCGTCTTCCTCTTGGAGAATCTTCAATAACGCGAATGCTATCAGTTTATTGGCTGGAATGTCATAATTATTTGCTTCGCAGATATGGTCTAATTTATGTAGCAAATTAACTCGGTTAATTTATAGGGTAAACGATATTTGCGTCTGTAATTCAAAGCACTTTTGTTCATTTGCATAAAGGATTTTAAAATATGACTATTGCGAAATGATGTACACTCGCGATAAAATTAGGCTTCCCTAGAGAATATGACGATATCAAAAATTTTAATTTCGATTTTAGTAGCATTAAAAATAATTTAGAAAGAAAGAAGGAAAGCTCTTCTTAGAGCGAAGAAGAAACAAACGAACGAGTTGAATGTTTTCCTCGGTTTGAAGGCGCAGAGATTTCACAGGTTGGTTCAAAGGAAACACGTAAATCCGAAGACACAAATGACTCGTCCCAAAGTGACTTTATTCTCTCAGCTTGGCCTCCATTCTTTCTTCAAGCCAATCGTGTGACGAGCGAACAGCGAAAATCCCCGTACAAGTTCCTCCTGGCGACATTTTTATTCCCTTTTTCCCTTCTCTTTCGGTGCACATCCGAATGAAACAAAGCCCGAGTTCCTCGCACCGCTTGATTTTCCAGCGCGTAAACACGAGAGAACCGAGAGATCTTCGGCCCAGACGCTGTTCCTTGGCGTATTTCGAGATTAAGAGCTTTCACCTTGATAGAAGAGTTGGTTGGAAAGCCGTGGAACGAGATACGAGGTGCGAATAGGGGCAGCATTGAAGGGAGGCCACGAAGAATAGAAGGGAAATGAATGTTAAGGGTTATAGGGTGTAGGTATAGGGGAACGAAGCGACGGGGTTTCGAGAGGGACTCATTGAATCCTTCTCGATGCTTCAGTTCAAGATGAGTAAGTAGCTTCAGAAGGCTTAGACACGTCGATGGAATCAAATATTTTGTTGAAAAATGATTTTAGGATCTGACGTTTACTACGACAGTGTAAATTTACAGAGTTAAATACAGAGTCGAAATTGTATTGAAAATTATCTTTTTCTACCCTTAAAAATCAGAAACTCAACACGATCAAAATATTATTTCTTTACTAATAATGCCAGCAAACAAAAATCTTGAAATTTGAAAATTAACTATTTCTTTTTTAAAATATGGAAATTTTAAGAAAATGAATATATC